CTGGCCCGCGTCGGGGCCGAGTAGCACCTCACACTGGCGACACTGGGCCGACATGGCCAGCCGGCCGGCCGGGCGGCGGCGGCGCGGCCGCGGCCGTTTCGCACCAGCTGCTGTCCCGACGGCCGGCGATGCGCGCACCACCGGCACCGGGCAGCGCACGGCGCACCCCGCCACCCCAGGCGCACCCTCGTCGGACCGTCCGAGCCGTCACACACGCGGCCGCGGCGGCCGACTGGCGTCTGCAAGGCGGCCGGCGGTGCTCCGGCCCCCCTCCCTCCCTCCCGGCCGGCCGGCCCACCGCACCTGACCACCCGACCGGTTCGGCCCGGATCAGCCGCCACCGACCGTCAGGGCGGCGGCGCAGCACGGCCAGGGCGTGGGCGGAACCCTGGACAGTCTCGTGCAGGGGCCGCGGCGCAGCTCGGCCTCAGCATCGGCGCGAAGGGCCAAAGCCCAACGGGGAAACGGCCGCGTTCGCCGCCACTGAGTGACGATCACCGGCCGATGTCGTTAGCTTAGGGTGGCAGTCGATGCACCAAACGTCCAATGCCACCGACCATGGCACACCAGCTTGCATTAGTGCCTGATTGATGTTGAGCAGCCCCCAGTCTTATCAACCAACGAGCATCTGAGGGGGGGGTGGAAGGGGGGGGGCGGAAGGGGGGGGGGTCAATGTATCTCTCCAGGTTCGTGCGAGAACTCTCACCGTTCCAAGGTTAACCCACCAAAGTCCGTACTCCCCAAATGGTCGATTCGATATGCCCTAGAAGTAACACTGTCTATGACGGATCAGATCACAGAGTCGTGACGTCAGCAGTAATGACATGTACGGCAGTGTTTGCTCCTGCAGGCAGCACTCGTCTGCTACATGTTTTATTTTGGACCTGTTCAATGTAGTTTAACGAAAGGTTTGAGGTTTGACTGCGCGCCACTCAGGTTCAGCAGCGCTTAACAACGTCACGTCAGTTCAGGAACGGTGGTCTTGTGACGTCAGTTATAAGTGTCCAACCAAACAGACTGGTGACGCCGATCTACGCTTTTATGCCAGCATAACCAACAAAAGAGAATGTTTCACATTTGAAGATGTGACAAGCAAGTCAACATCACACCTAGCAAATAAGCAGGCACCAGGTATGACGAAATAAGCTCAATGCATATATTGGCCTACTTCTGAGTGGAAAACACTGCTCGAGATAACACAATTTTTTCGTTTAGTAAATATGATCTTCAACTAGTCACTGTGTGATTATGTCATCGTACCTTACACAACATTTATTGAGCTAATTCACGGCCCTTATACCTGGAAATCGTGCTCAGGAACGCCAGCTAAAAACGACTTGACAGTCGTATTGTTCATAGTCTTGATCACCGCATGGCTAATGTAATGACAGGAGCTTGACGACGTTATCATGGCGTCATGGATGCCTGGATAGCCTTTAAATGGTCTCCCCGAAATGGTCTGTTCATCTTCGCGGGTGTGTAGCTCAGAAATTAGATGGGTTTAGTTCTTAAGAAGGTACGACTGTGAACTGCACCGGATGATCGTCAAGATGACAATCTCAGTTCAAAATCCCATAGAAATGAGGAACACTCCCTTAAATGGTGGCGATGCGAACTGTTTTGCACGTCCTGTGACGTCACCGGCGACGTGACAGATGTCAGCGAGACTTTTCATGGTCTCTGGGTAGCAATGGGGAGGATTGCCTTTTGAATCCGTTGCGATCCGAACATCGGATCACGATATGGGGGAGGGAAATTTCCACCCCGCTCAGGCGGCGACTGTGGCGAGCTGCCCCAGACAATATTATGTAAGTAGCTGGGTGCACGCGCAGCGCACCGCCAGTTTAACCCACGACTCGGTTTTGTTTTGCGTGCCCTGGCTTCATGCTTGACCCTGGCCCAGACGTCGGCCTCATTTGAATAAATGGCATGCTGATTACGTGACCACCAGCAGTCCCGCACCATAACCACCAAGGCATTACAACAGTACGACCTAGCCTGACAACGCATGCTCCGCTGTACAAAACAGCTGCTCTTCGAGACTGTGAATTATCGAGCAGCCGGTATCACATCCGTCCGCTAGCATAACACAAAATACTGCGACTGGATGCTGGAAGGCTTTTGCCCAGTGAAGTTGCATCCATGCGTCGACTTTGTGAATCAGGGTTTAGTCGCTATTGAGAAGACCCAGAAAAGACTGGATACTGCAGACGCTGGCGGGGATCCTCACGCAGCGGGCTATTTGAAGAGGAATAGTCCCGCGGGAGAAGCCCACCGCTCTTCCGCCTTACCGCTCCTACATGGGCAAACGATTGTTGGAGGGCAAATTTAATCTCGTGAAAGCACAAGTGTGGTTCCCCGCAGTGACTCAGATTAGCACTGTGGCCGCACTCGGCAGGCGAGAACGGACGAGGGCGGAGGGCCAAAGATTACCGGGAGGCTCTCACCAGCGGCCGCCGTAAGCGTCCGCTGGTCAGGAGCCGGCCCGCACGCCCGATGCTCGCCGCAGTGGCTGCCCGGCCGGCCGGACAGATCAGGCCGCACAGATCAGGTCATGGCGACGCCGGCGCTCGCCGCAGTCGCTGCCCGACCGGCCGGACAGATCAGGCGGCACAGATCAGGCGGGACAGATCATGCGGCTATGGCGACGCCGGCGGCCCGATCGGGGGTAGTCGTGCGATCGCCGTAAATCGATCGCGATCGCATCGGTCACGCCCGGCCGACCACAAAGGGCCGGAAGCCGCCGATTCGGAGCGTTTACACCGCGCCGATGCCGCCGCACGGCCCGTGACCGGAACAATATCGCCGCGTGGCGCCGGCGGCGGCAAGCGGAGCCTGGCGGCGGTCAACAGGAGCCAATCAGGAGGCGCCGCCACGGCCGACCTCGGGTCAGCCTGCCGGCTGGTGGTCTGTGCTCTCGGTGCCGTCAGAGAGTCGGCGGACACCGTCAGAGCCGTCGTCGGTCACCAGACGTGCACGATCGCCGCGTACCACACACCGGCGTTGGTTGTACAGGGAGCGACGAGGCCGACTGGAGTCCTCCCTTCAGACATGACGGCGAGAGGCGACGCCCGAATAGGTGACGAACAGGTGAGGGTGACGCACAGGTCGCAAGTTCGGCCTGTCCCCAGCGGCGTACCAGACCCACGGTCGGCGAAAGCAAGATTAGGTCGCGCGGAAGTCGACGCCAACCATGATACGCGACAAGCAATGGCAAATCTGGCTACGGCATGCCAGCAGAACTGTTCACCCGACCCGCGTGACGTGGGAGGGCGCAAACACACGCCAGAAGGAGCCGTGGCCGTTTGCATAACAGTATGGGTTTTTGCAGGTGCGTGGTAAGAACTAAGATACGGAGCCCAGACAGCGTGTTAAGACAAGCCGTATGAGTTTTGCTGCCATAGGCTGGTAAATATTAACTTCACACACGCACGCACGCACGCACGCACGCACGCACCCACACACACCCACACTCACACCCACACCCACACCCACACCCACACACACACACGCATTATCTCGAACCGTCTCATGCAGTAAATATTTGCGCCCGACCCGGTGGCCCGGCCGCCGCCGTAAGCGCCGGTCGGGCCGCCGTGTTGGGCCGGGGTAGGGCGTCACCGCGGACGGGGCGCGACTGGCACCTCTCGGTGGTCCGGCGGCGGGGCACGTCAGCTGCGCCGGGGCACAGACGGCGAGCACGCGCCATGCGCGCCGCCGCCACAGGGGAGGCAGAAATAGCCGCCGGCTCGGCGCCCGGCAGACCGACGATGGGGTGTGACGACATGCTCTCAGAAGAGACCCCGCACGGTGGGGACGATAGCAGACGGTGAAACACCTTTGAAGATTTACGGACCAGTAAAAACAACAGGAAATAATGGCACACTTTCGCAGGAGCCCTCTTTATCAGCCAGACTAACCAGAGGGGCGCAAATAACCAATGCAGCTGTCGCGCCTCCTCAAAACTTAATAATGAGCTAACTGGAATAACCAGAGACACGCCTGAAGAGGAGACCCCGACCCGTGGTACGGACAGAACGTGGCCACACTCCCTCAGAGAGCTCCGCTGGTGGGACGACAGCAGGCTTCCACACTTTAAGCCAATCCGTCTGAGTAAGAAGCGCTGCCTCCATCGCACGCGCGCTGTTACCGGTACGGCAGAGACGACCTAGACCGGCCATAGGCAGCCAGCGCCGCTCGGCGTCACCCCCAGCTGCGAGCGGCGGCTGGCCGGCAGGCCGGTCCGGGCCGGGCCGGTCCGTGCCGGTACGTGCCGGTCCGGGTCGGTCCGGTCCGGCCCGGCCTGCGTCGTCGATCCTGGACCGCACCACCCAAGCGGCACAATCAGCACCGACCCGCGGCCGGCACGCCACCGACCGGCCGCACACGGCGGCCAACGCCAGACGGACGTGGCCGCCGAGCCTGCTGCGGACGGTCGCCGGCGGGTGCGGGCTGGGCAAACGCCGCCGCCGCAGCGACATCAGACGGGAGAGCTACGATTAGAGCCCGGATCAGAACTCCGATGAGGCGCGCGCTACGGAGGGAGAGTCTCGCCGCCGGAGGCACGGCCACACGGTGTGTGCCACAGTCGGACGTCGCGGAAGAGGTCGCGGGGCGACACCCACCGCCGCCGTAACATGACAGAAGCCATGGCTCGACGCCACAACTCGCACTGGACAGAAGCCATACACAAACAACCACGACTCGCCTCAGACTAAAGCCATACACCGACGCCCGCAACTCACGCTAGACTGGGCCCACATAACGCCGCTCATAACGCTTGCTGGCCGCACGGTCCAACGCGAAGACCTTACACTTTAGGGAGTCTACGACACATGCGGACGCGGCGCCTACGAGCCGTGCACACGTTAAACGGCCGGCGAGCACATCGAAAAAGGTGGTAGGGGCTCGGCGTCGCCACCGCCTGCCGGCAGGGGACGGCGCTCCTCATCCGGCAGGGGCGGGCAGCGGCCCGTCGCAATCGACCCCATAGGACTTACGCCGGCGGGGGACGGCTCCATCACGTCGGACACGTCGCCGACGCCGTTCAGATCGGCGGACTCGGACGCGTACAGCTTGTGCCGGTGCGCGAGCCGGTCCAGGCTGGCCAGTCGGTAGGTGGGCCCTGCGGCCGCCGTCGGCCGGTCGGCGGCCGAGAAGCTGGAGCCGCCGTAGCGCGGCAAGCCCGGCAGCCGGCGGCCGCCCTCAGCCAGCTCGACGCGCCGTGACCGACGCTCGCCGCCCTCCTCGCCGCGGAACGTCGAGAACGTCGACTTGTAGGTGGCCGGCGCGGCCGCCTGGCCGCCCTCCTCACTCATGGCGCCGGGACGAGCGTGGCTGGCGCGCGCGCACACACACACGGACGAGGGCGGCGCGCGCGGCAGACGGCGCACCGACGACCCGGGCCGCGGTCGGCTCCCCACTGGGCCGGCTGCCAGGGGGTGCGGGACGCCGCATCGATCCGACCGAAGCGCCGCTGACGCCTGGCGGCCGAGTCGCGAACTAGCAGCACCCGGACGTCCGTCTTTAGCCCGCCGGCGGTTGCCGGGGTGCCAGACCGGATGCCAAAGGCGGGATGACGCTACAGACCGGACGTCAAAGGCGGGATCACGCTACTTTGCGCCGGTCGCCACTTCACGTCACATCACGAGCTGGAAGCGCCTTACTGATGGTTCGCAATGCCCTCGATTGCGCGTGCCGAAATGGTCTAAAAACTTCTCAGACAGATACCGGCGAGTGTCAATTCAAACATGACTCTCAAGGAATTTAAGTAATCGTTCAACGCAAACAAATCTTTAATATCAGTTGAGTCAGCTTCACACGGTGTGAAGTCACACATACGTTCACCCGGAAAGACCTTCGCCATATCGGTGCATTTTAGCTCCAGCGCAGCCCGTGCTTTAAGCCTCTTCTGTCTAGCCACGACTCTGATGCCATGAGTGTACTTTGGACCACGGCGCAATGGCGCAACCGGCGCCATGGCCCATTGTAGACCGGTTATCAGTACAGCCCGACTATAATGGCAACCATGCCGGAACTGTCAGCACATCCCTACTGGTAGGCGCCACACCACAGGCATACAAACCGGAACGTTTTATTACTTCTCATGTTGCGACAGAGGCACGGACTGGCTACACGCGTTGCTCCCACCACTTCGCGTAACATAATTCGCCGGTACAAAGCAATTAAGATGTTGCACATTTAAAGAGCCGCTGGAACAGAGCATGCAATGTGTTACACTAGCTGTGCCGGCTGGCTGGGTCCACGGCGCCTCGCCCGGTGACGCCGGACGAGCAAGCGAGGCCAGCGAGGCCAGCGAGGCCGCCAGGCCGAATTCAGCAAAAGCCGAACAGGTGGGGGGGGGGGGGGCAAAAGGGGTGGTTCCCCTCCCCATCCATGTGTAGCCCGAAGGGCGGCGAAAGGTGTCTCCTGCAGGTACTCGAACGAGGCCTCAACTTGTATGTCAGATATATCTTGCCTGAGAGTGAATTCAGCAATGACGAACGACATTTATGCGAGATTTGCATGAGAATCTATGGCCCTTGGATTAGCTAACGGCTCCTTCCCAGCCTGAAATGGGGCTCTTGTGTACAAAGAGCGGCTATGTCTGAAAAGAATGACTTTGGGACTCTCACCAAAAACGTGGGGTCTGTCTAACAAGCTTTCTCCCTGCTCTCCTTCGGCGAAATCCGGGCCACGGGTCTGTACTGAATGGTGTCTTCTAAATGACACCATTTCCTCCACCCCATCAATATGCCATATCCTACAGGGCTGAACATTTCGCTCGTGGTGCGTGGACTGAGGCCACAGCTGGGGGGCTGACAAAGAGCCTTTGAAAAGGCACCTGAAAAATGACACGCATTTTGAACGCATAGCATACGCATCTACCTATGGCTCGTTCAAACATCCTCAAGCAAAACAGCTACAGGGCTAATATTCGTGATGATTGTTGGCATTAAGAGATGCCGAGTTCCTTCACTTCACTATACGCATATCAGTCCGAGTGAGCTTTGTGTTTTTTAACCTTTTTTTAGTCTATCCAAACCTTTTCAACGAATAGATTTGTGGGACCAAGCTAATGCTGAGCAGGGCTTGTCGCGTCAGCCCTGATCCCTATCATCAGATCGCGCAACTCCAAGACAGCAGCAGAATTTTGTGGCGAAAGTTCAACGTGCCGCAATGCTCGGGACCGTCCGTTCCGCCCTCTGACTTCAACCTTTATCGGGGCCGCTGCCACCGGCTACAGGCCATACCTGTCAAGGCCAAATAGCGAACGCCTAGAGCGACTCGAACTCACTCCGCCACGGGTGGGTGAATCGGGAGGCAGGCGCTCTAACCAACTGAGCCATCGGACGGGGACGATATTCGATTAAATTAGTCAAATTAGATAAATTGTCAACACAATTAGATTGGTTCGATAAATGAATGAAATAATGCAACTATCAAAACAATTCATTGACTGCTACAAACCACTGGCACTTTAACATCAACTGACCAAAAGCCTAGCCTAGCTGTTATTAAGACTTGTCCTCAACCAAAGCAGATGGAAATAAACAAGAAAATGCCGGTAAGCTTTCGCAGATTTTCACTCACCATTCATAGATTCGACGCACCTTGGGGCGAAAAGTCCGTTTGCCCACTGAGATGACATTATCACTGACTATATCACCCAAGTGTTTGGTCGCGAGCGTTATTACGTGGTGGTTGGCGGCCAAGGTCCCGTATTAACTTGTGGATATGGGCTGTAATTATCAACGGAAGCCGCTAGACTCCTTCCCAAGAGGAACGAAGCGAAGGGGCAACACCAGAACAAATCGCGTCTTGTCCGACACCTGAATGGCCACAGGGCCACGTCTATAAAATGATGAACGGCTTCTCTGTCACAACCCTTTTTCCATTTTCACGGTAGATGTGTCAATCCTTTAATCGAACCCTACAGTGACCATGATTAGAAAGTGAAAACATCGGTGTGGCAAAAAGTGTAAACTAGTTCATGAACTGGTCCCAAGTTTACGCTCGCCGCGGTTTTCACAGCAAAGCGAAGCAGCCAACGCAGCTGACACCGACCGCGTGACCGCGCCACCGCGACACACACTGCACTGGCCGACACACGGTCGACGGTGAGCCCGGCCGGCTGGCTGAGCGCGCGCGCCGTCCCCGCGACATGTGACACGCCCACCAGTCTGCGACAGCCGCGACCTTCGGCGGCGCGCCGTTCATCGGTAGGCGGTCCCGATCCCACGTGACACGGCCCGCCGTTCATCGGTAGGCGATCCCGATCCAACCTGACACGGCCCGGCTCACCAGCGGCCGGGAGCAACTCCGCTCGACACGGCGAGCCACCAGAGACCGCCGGACACCAGGCTCCCGGACAGTCGTCCCCGGCTCACCGGACACCAGGTTTCCCGGACAGCCGCCGGCTCACCGGACATCAGGCTCCCCGGATAGTCGTCTGCGGCTCACTGGACACCAGGTTTCCCGGACAGCCGCCGGCTCACCGGACACCAGGCTCCCCAGACAGTCGTGCGCGGCGCACAGAACACCAGGCTCTCCGGACAGTCGTACGCGGCACACAGGACACCAGGCTCTCCGGACAGCCGCCGCCGGCTCATCGGACGCCAGGCTCCCCGGACAGTCGTACGCGGCACACAGGACACCAGGCTCTCCGGACAGCCGCCGCCGGCTCACTGGACACCAGGTTTCTAGGACAGCCGCCGGCTCACCGGACACCAGGCTCTCCGGACAGTCGCCACCGGCTCACGGGACACCAGGCCGCCGGGACAGTCGTCCACGGCTCACCGGACACCAGGCCTCCCGGCCAGCCGCCGCCGGTTCACCGGGCGCTGGGCTCCCCGGACAGCCGTCCCTGGCTCACCGAACACCAGGCTCCCCAGCCAGCCGTCCCCGGCCCACCGGACACCAGGCTCCCCGGCTTCCCGAGACGTGTCCCCGGCCCGCACTGTGGTGGCCCGATCAGGCTCCCGCCGCTGCTGAGGCTGGCCACGCCGGGTAGACAGCGCTCGTCATGACTCGTCAGGCTGTCACGATCCGTGTTTCCTTTCCGTGCACTTGCACGAAATGTTTCATACTGGGAACGAGCGCTCCAGCAGCTGACGCATTACCTGGCACTGAAATGCCAGCGGTGCCATTCCAGACCTCGAGCGACACGCCGCCGATTCACGCTCGGTCTGAATGCAGCCAACAATGTCAGGAAACGTCTTCAGGCGCCCTGGACTCCGGGGCGCCTGAAGGCGTGCCCAGGAGTCCGGATTCGAGCCGCATCACGCTGCAGCAGACTGCGAGAACTCTACCCTCAGGTACGTCGCGAAGGAAAATCCAGCCGTGCATATCGGGGCTGATCGCATGCCTCACGTGCGTGGTGACTTCAACGTCCAAAAGCGTAAAAGGAACGCACCATTCGCTCCACGCCACGATATCGCGCATTGCGAACTAAGCTGTCGCCATGACGAAACGGCTGTCAGTAAGCCGCGCTGCCACAGGGGGTCCGGGCAGGCCGCGGCGCTTCGATTGCAGCGCGAGAGCCAGCGCTGTCTCGAAGCGAAACATGCCGACTGTCGATGCCCGCGCGTCGGCCACTGTTGCGAAACAGCAGGCGAAAGAACTGGTTGTTTGAGTCGCGTTGCCTCTGCACCAGGGAACAAAAATGGCTGACAAGACGGGTGATGCACCGCGAGACGGCGGCGCCGGTGCGTCGGCCGCCACCGGCTCCGCGTGCCTGTCCCGGAGACCGACAGCTACAGACGCCGTTACGGCGCCGCCAGGTGTCGGCCGGCCGGCGGGAACGGCGGCCGGCCGCGAGTGAAAAGGGCGAGCGGGCCCGCCGGGCCGCCGCTGGACTCGGCCACGGGCGCGCGGCGCCATCGGAGGACCGCGCCGCGACGACGTCGCTATCCGCATGCCGGCGTCCGACAGCCGGTCAGCCGACCTATTCGCCTGTAAAACCGCGCAGCACGACTCCCCGAGCGGCGTCAGCCGCCCAGGGAACAACATCAGCGAACCGCAGGGGGCGACCAACACCACGCCACCCCCGGCCTGACGACCATCTGTCGCAGCGTCAGCACACCTGTGCCGATCAGCACCCGTCTTCAGAGCCCATTGTGCCGTCTCACGCGCTGCGCGGGGAGGGGGGGGGGCGCCGCACCGCCCGGGTCGGTCGGCTCCCCGGCGCGCAGATCCCGGCGGTCGAACGGCTTCGACGTAACACCAGACCCGGCCGGCCCGTGCGACCGATCACGTAAAAACGCTCACACCACCGCGCGCCACTGGAGCGAAAAACGAACGATCACCGCGAGCCGGACGTGTCTCCCCACGCGGACACGAGCGCGGCAC